GGGACAGCTCCTGCGTTGAGCACCTGCCTCCTGGTGGTCAGTGTGCGTCATAGTGACTGGTTGTTTGGTGGACTGGTTGTAACCGTCACTTAGGCTTTTACTAATATATATATATATACTAGAGGCCCCATGCACGAAATTCGTGCACTCAGGAAGGACGGTGTCCTTCAGCCCAGCCTGTACCCTCTCACAATCAGGGTCCCCTAGGCCTGGCCTGAGATCAGGGCCTATCCAGGGCTTTCCTTCCCCCGGCTACAGGCAGCTGGCCCCATCCTTGCCACTGCCACTGCTTGCCATCTGTGCAGCGCTGCCCCACACTCCCCTGCCACCCGTGGTCTCCCTCTGCAGGCAACAGGTGTGGGGTGTGATGGCTTGGCTGGCCTGGGCCTCCCTCTTTCTTTGCTGGGGACAGGGCCAGCCCTGCAAGGGGCCATCTGCCTACCTGTTCACCCCTAACTGCTCACCTGCCTACCTGATCGCCCCTAACCACTCTGCCTGATCGTCCCTAACCACTCTGCTGTCTGCCTGATCACCCCTAACCGCTTGCTTAGGGGTGGGGCCAGTCTGGCAAGGGGCCATCTGCCTACCTGATCACCCCTAACCACTGGCCTGCCTGCCTGATTGCCCCTCAATGAGGGGGCCGTGGTGGTTCTGGTCTCTGGTCTACCTATTATATAGGATATCCACAGGGTACCTTACTTAACCAGCATTTTATTCTGAGGATGATCTTAAAAGTTTGTTTGGGGCCCTGGCTGGTATGCTCAATGGTTAGAGCATTGACCTGCACACTAAAGGGTTGTGGGTTAGATTCCTGGTCAAGGGCACATACCTGGGTTGCAGGTTTGCTCTGTCCCTGGTTGGGCACATGCGGGAGGCAACCAGTCTATGTGTCTCTCTCACATAGATGTTTCTCTCTCTCTTTCTCCTCCCCCCCCACCCCTTCAATTCTGTCTGAAAAGCAATGGAAAAAATATCCCTAGGTGAGGATTAACAACAACAAAAAAGTTTGTTTGGGTTAATTAATTCAACAGATAATTTTGAGAACTTGCATGCAGCCAGTACTCCTCTGGGCCCGGGAGGGCACAGAAGTAAATAAAATACACAAAAACCATTACCCTTGTGGAGTTTTCATGCTACAGAGGGAATGAATAATAATACATTCTTTTGAGAAAAAGCAGGGAAGGTGATGGAGAACTTGGGGAGCCAGACGGGTACGGTTTTCATTAAAGTGGAAGGTTAAGAGCCTCAAGGCCGCAGGCAGAGTCTGCTGACCCTGGAGGAGGTGGTGGTGGTGGGGGGGGGGGGGCGTGTCACAGAGTCTGGGAGAGAACTGTTGCAGGCAGAGGGGAGGAGGCCGAGAGGCCAGTGTTCTCGGCAATTCGTCCAGGCAATTCGTCCGACCACACTCGCTCCATTCCGGTCCTCAGACCGTTACCCTGCCGCTCCCACCGGGCCAGTACCCGAACGCTGGGACGTGCAGGAGCTGTGGGCCGCCGGCGGGGTCGCAGCAACGCCTGGCGGATCAGGTCAGGTCCCAGAGCTTTTGGGCCTTTGCTCCCCAAAGACATGACATCATCTTTAAAGATCTTTCCCCAACCAGCCCTCCCGGTTCAGTCATGGTGTCTGATGAGGCCTTGCTGTCCAGGGAGCCGCTGGCTCTGGAAATGCAGCTGTAAGCGTAAAATAGTAGTTTTACAGTCTTTTTTTCTAAAGACTGTAAAGTATTTTATTGAATAAATCTACAATGTTGCTCACATGCTGAAATGATAGACTGGCTATACTGGATGAAAGTTTTTACGATTTAATGTCATTCGTTTTCATTTTTCAAAATGTGGCTATTCAAGCGAGAGGAGCCCTGCGGCTGCCGCGCCGTCTATCCGGATGGCGCCGGG